GTTTAAAAGTTGTAAGTTTTAAATTTACATTGGTATAAGAATACGTTCAAGATCACAAAAAGTTACATCTTGCAAAACCTTAAATAATAAAAGGCTAGAGCCATCATCCGCCTCACTAATTTTGTCCTAAAATATTCATTTTTGGGCTGGGTGGATTCGAAATGAGTGGCCAAATACATTTTCAAAGAGCATTGTCATACTAAATGATCTAAAGAATTTGAATTTAGTAATGGAAAATATCACAAAAAATCCTAAACTATGCCCACTGTGGCACAAATACCTCAAAATTTTTTCGTGACACCTAAATTTGCCAATTGTGACGTAAGTACCATTAAATTTTTTTGTGTCACGAAAAAATCCAAACTTATATATGTGCGGCATGTATACCCTTTATATTAGTACTTTGATATAAGTTCGGGGGTTTTTATGAAACAAAAAAAAATTGAGGTATTTGTGTCACGATGAGCAAGTTTAAGGATTTTAGTCGTACAAAAAAAGTTCGGGATATTTATGTTGCAGTGAACATAATTTAAGGTTTTTAGTAATATTAGCTCATTTAGTAAATATGAAAATCACAAGAATTTAACAAATGTCGAATCTTAAGAAAGTAAATTTGTTGAAATATCTTATGAAAATTTACCACATCATAAATACTTCAGCGGACCAAAAAAAACACACAAACCCCATCAACCAGGATCACCAAACTTTTGCAGAGTTGTTGCAGAGTTGTCGTGCTTCTGAGTGGGCAACATTCAAGTCTCGAGAAAGTGTCGACTCCTTTGACTGGGTCTCTATCTTTCGTAAGTACGATAAGACAACCGGCGAGGAATTTGAGTTTCGAAGAAGCATTGACTCTAACGGAAAGACAAAGACTCCTTTCGAAGGAGTTCTGTGTCTTCCTGCAGGTACAATAGGACAACCGGCGAGGGATTCGAGCCTCGAAGAAGCATTGTCTCTAACTGAAAGGCAAAGACTCCTTTCTGCAATTGTACGGGAAAAGGAGCAAGTTTGTCTAGAGAAAATTAAGTCCTTGTTGGACTTTTATGTTGGTCTACGATTTTCTTAAGCACGCTGGCCGTACTTCCCATATTAAATGCTCTGCATGTGAAAGGAAGGAAGAAGACGAAGACGAAGACAAATAAAACATTGGAGTTGGTGTGTGTGAAGAAAGTGCAATGGATATTCACTTCATGGGTCAAAGAAAGAGGACATGTGCGTCCATTTTTTCTCTTCTTCATTAATGCATGCACACTGTGCATGCATGCCATGAAAATGGAGGGCCCCGTTGCTGCTTTCATTTAATGCAAATAGGAGCCTTTTCTTGTGTTTTATTCGGCTGAGTCTCTGAGAGTGGAAGGAGAATAGCATGCGAGTGGACTTCTTCATGTAGAGAGAGAGAAGATGAAGTGCAATGATGATGGCCATTGAATGATGTAGACCATCGCTTGTGCATTATAAAAGAGAGAGACGTCCAACGAAGGTTCGAGCCAAGTTCCATTCGGTGGCTGAGAAAAGAGAGTTTTTCTCGTTAGGGACTATCTTGTTATAATTACGGCCGAGTGATTTAGCTAGTTAAATTCTTGCGAATATAATTTGTTTAATATCTTGAGTGAGATTTCACTAAGAATTATGAAGAATTAAATACTGAGTGTAATTAGAGGCTGAGAAATACTGAGAGAGTATTTAAGTGCTCGAGTGATTGTAATCTCCGTTATATCGCTTGTTTTCTATGGTGAAATTCCGTGCTGCTCTCCCTGTGGACGTAGGTTCCGATATTCAGATCGAACCACGTAAATCTGGTGTTCGATTTCCTTTCCTTCATTCGGACTATTTTATCCTATTCACTTGGCTATTATTCGCAACAAGATGATTAACAAGGTGTTGGCAAAGAAATTCGTTCATCTCCTCGTGATTTTAGTTTCAACTTTTGTCGAGAACACAACAGGAAAAAAACCATGAATGCATTAATTCGATGTGGGGTAGTGTGTGCTTAAGATCGCACGAGGAAATGGACCAGTTAAGATACTCGAAAGCTTATCCGGACTTCACTTGACCGGCTAGCTATACCAAAAAATAAAGTTGACACAACGTTTTTGTGTTACTTCTTTTGGTCGGGGGAACTTCCACTTAAATTTCCTATTTCATAATATTAAAAATAGAAGCCTAGTGTGCAGTGCTAGTGGGAATGGGAGAATCTGATATGGTAAACCAAGGACGACCAAAAAGTCTCTCGAGCAATAACTCAAACATAAATTTTTTTTGTAAATGAAAAAGAAAGAACTTGCAAATTGAATGATTGCTAATGAATGGATGAACCGTACTTTGATCTCCTAAGTGGAAGATCTACCCCAAATTTCAATTCCCGATCGGCTATATATGTAGCTTAATATCTATACAATCTCGAAGTGTATATTTCCAATACCAAACAAGAAAGAAAAAGCACCTCCATACATCCATAACAATTATTCAAAACCAAACATAAGTATAGGATATTGAGAGTGCAAGTAACATATATTTTTATTATTTTTCATACCTCCAGATTCAAGTTCAAGCTCAAAATCGAGCTCTTCAGCTCCAGTTCGAGTTAAACTCGAGCTATGTACTGAGATTTAATTTTGGTAATCAATCTTACGAAAGTCAAGTTTTGGCTTCTAAAACATTTCATCAAGTAAAAGCTCAAGGCTTGTTGAATAGCTCATTCAAACTCGAGGTGAGTGTCGCAGTCTAAGTTTATTTGAGCTGCGTCCTCGAATTACAATCGATGCACACTTCTCAAATGTCCCAATAGAACAAACTTCCTATAGCAAGCCTAGTACTTAGAATCTCAATCTAATGAGTCGGTCAACTGAAAAAAACAAAAAAAAAAAAAAATGGACCGACGCAAACAAATGCACCACTTGTGGGAGATATACCAGTCGTGACACCATCAATTAACTACCTAAGTTATATCAATAAATGAAATATTTAGATCAGAAAATTTGATATGCTGGACCCAAAACCTAGAAACACGCCTCATGCCAGGAAGATTATATCGCGGTCAAACTATAAATAACACTATCATTATATGGGAACACAAGAGTTCAAACTGGTCTAATTTGATATGCTGGACCCAAAACCTAGAAACACGCCTCATGCCAGGAAGATTTTATCGCGGTCAAACTATAAATAACACTATCATTATATGGGAACACAAGAGTTCAAACTGGTCTTGTCTTACCTAACTCATAAAATATGCCAGTAAACTATAGTTTAATTGTGATTATAATAGGATGCACCACGAGAGGAAAAGACCTGGCTAGTTTCCGTTGTAATGCACAGGGTATGTTGATCTCCCATTTTCTAAGGCTACCATGGGTACGACTCTAATATAGAGGCCTCAATTTAGAGAACTAGTTCGATTTGCTTCTTGATCTCTCAACCTCAGATACCCTCGAACTGTAATCCTGCATGGACGGCATATTAGATTCGATGCCACTGTGCATGAAGTATGCAGGTCTCGAAGGCACTTGGAGTGTGACCGAGTGGCTGTTAAGCATGAGAAGGACTGAGGCCATTGTTGGCCGGCTAGCCATGTTTTCTTGGACACATAGTAGACCAACGTGGATGCACCTCTCAATTTCAGTGCTTGAACCAGAAGTTATAGAGGGATCGATGATGTTCGATATTGATCCTTCCCTCCAATTCTTCCAAAGCTGCAAACATCTGACAAACATTGAGCAGATTTATCTCTGGAATATGATGCAATATGAGAAAGTATGTTCTTATACTCACATAGTTTGTAAGGACCACCATGTCATCGCCCATGCGGAAAAGATTGTTCCTTTGACCACTTATAATCTCCAGAACCAGCACTCCGAAACTGAACACATCTGATTTGACTGAGAAGTTCCCGTGCATTGCATACTCTGGCGACATATATCCACTGTGCTTCACAATAAGTCCATTATATTAGCTCTACAATTTGCCTTGGTTCTTTTGATAAGCATTAACTCTAGTATGTTGCGGCACTTACTAGGTCCCCACGATTCGGTGTGTCTCAGCATGAGTTTGGTCCAACTCGAACAGTCTCGCCATACCGAAATCTGATATCTTAGGATTCATGTCTGAGTCCAACAAAATGTTGCTGGCTTTGAGGTCCCTATGGATGATACAAAGTCGAGAGTCTTCGTGTAGGTAAAGCATCCCTCGAGCGACACCCATTATTATTTTGTGACGCCTATCCCAGTTGAGAATTGCCCGCTTCAGGGGATCTATGCATTTTGGTGGAATCACATTCTATAAGACTACCATTAATCATTTTGTGAGGATCTAATTTCACGAATGATAACGTGAGAAACATACCAAATATGAACTGATCAAGGCTCGAATTAGGCACAAACTCGTAAATGAGAAGCCGTTCGACTCCTTCTAGACAGAAACCTAGGAACCTGACCAAGTTCCTATGATGTAGCCTAGCTAGTAACATGACCTCGTTCTTGAATTCTACTTCCCCTTGGCTGGAATTCTGCAATAGCCGTTTCACCGCGATTTCCTGTCCGTTGGAGAGCTGACCCTGAAATTTTGCCAAATCAGGTCCTTGTGAGTATCAATCGGTACAATGAAGCATTTCGAAGAGTATCAAATTGATGTCATCTTTGACTATTTGGTTGCTTAAATTTTGAATACAAGAGAGTAGAGGGTGTGCTCGGTTCATTATTACCATGTAGACAGCACCAAAACCACCTTGTCCAAGTTTCTTGGAATCAGAGAAGTTCTCCGTTGCCGCTCTGATAGTGCTGAAATCAAATTGCAGTGACTCCGTCGTGCTAATTTCACGCACAACTTCACCTAAAAGTGCAAAAACGCGTCATTCAGAGTGAGCATCATTATCTTTTCATGGTTTTCATAATGAAAGTTTCACAAACTTTTAGTTTATATAAGTGCACCTGCAGGCATTACTCATATAACCTAAACCGTTAACCCTTATAAAGTTTTTGGCCTAATTGTCGAAAGTGATGCAGCTCTTACTACTTTGCTGGTGCAAAATCATAGTCATTAGTCAACTTAATTACTTTCATGATCTTTTTTAACCTCATGAACAGTTGGTGTTCCAATGAAAAGGATAAAAACTCGCCTTCAACACTTTGTCTGGGCTGGTTCATCTTCCTTTTCACTTTCAGAAGCACGACAATGCCGGTGACAAGTAGGGCAGAAACACTTGTGACGACCGCAATGATCACAGTCATCATCAAATTACTCTTTCCAACTGCAAGAGCAAAGGCACATTATGTTTATAATCATTGCTCACTAATTACTAAGCAATACATTGCAGAAATTACTCAAGCGCCATTACGACTGTGGAAACGAAACACATTTGCAAAGATATAACAAGAACAGATACGCAACACAAATTACGATGTGACAGATACATCGTGCCGTTCTTTGATAACTCAAGGTAGAGTTATTCGGATTTCTGGATTTCGTCAACCTACCAATTTTCGTCTAATAAGATTCCGAATATATGGTATTATTCTCAAAATTTTAAGTTTTAGGGATAATTGGTTGCCTTTTCGACTTCAATTTCATTACTTTCACGAATTTCTTTTGGAAATCAGAGTAAAGACAGTGAAATGGTTTACAGAAATACAGCGGAACGAGGAACTATCCAATGCAAGTTTAGAAATTTTTTTGCAGATTTATTAGACGCTTCCACTGTGCACATATGGGACCGGAATATACATGCGGGACCACCAACCATGGATTTTCTCATCTTAGAGGACCACCGCAATGGAGGTAACCATCATTGTGGTGGAAACCACTGCTAATGACAAAAACCTGTGTGAAGCAATATATACATACGACAGCTTGTGAGCTATGATTGCCATAAGTTGTGATTCAATTAACTGACTGTGATAGTTGACTAGTAGCCATGTAAATGCATCAATATTTAAACGTATCTTCTTTTCCCGAAAAGAAATAAAATCACATGATGAACTGAGCATATATATTGACAAAAAGAAATTGAGCATATATAAAAATAAAAAAATTGAATGGTTTATAGAGCATGTAGATTCAGCTCATATGAACAACTGATTGTGTGAATCTCACGCGAAACCCGCATATTTTCATAGAAAAAAAAAAAAAACAGACCCAAAGGCCGTGTACCCAACTCCTAAACAAGAGCCAACATACCTGATGGCAACAGTGGCGGTGCCGGAAGTGGTTCACTGACCGGATCGAAAAACTTATTATTGGTCTCGTATAGGATCAGGCAACTAGGCACCATGAAACGTCCTCCTGTGTACCTAACACAGCACTCCCTGATCATCTGGACACCTATCACCAGGCAGTCGCTACATTGCTGCTCCGTCAAGTCCGGCGTGCACTGCACCAATGCATAGATCATGTCAGGCCCCGCTGATTCGTTCCCCGATGCATACTTTCTCAGCGAGCCGCCACCCGCCGCCTCGACCCACAGACCGTTCAGAAGCTTCCTCATCGTAGCGTCGTACGTGTCTGGGCTCGAGACGTTGTCAGCGGTTCTCGCCACGTAGGTGGGTTCTGTTGCAACTGTGCCGAAGAATGATGCGTCCGAGTATCGGATGATGCAGTTCCCAGTGTAAAGGAGTGCCTCCTTCTGGAGGGGGCAGAGGCGGCGCATGCTGGAGGCCAAGGCATTGAGGCAGGCGCGGCAGCCCAGAGCGGTTAAGTCGCCGCGGCAGAGACCAAAGACGTAGAGGGTTTGCGAGGTGCTGGAGACAGCGGCAGATACATTGAAGAAACCGTAGGAAAGGGACAGGGAGTTGGTGGTGGAGATGGAGGAGAGGAGGGTGGTGAGGGTGGTTTGGTAGGTGCTGTTGGCGGTGAAGTTGCCGGTCGAACCACAGTAGCTCGCTGGGAATTGGGCGTTTATGGTGGAAGCAAACATGAGAAGAAGCAACAGAAGGAGATTTGGAGGATCCATCTTTTTTTTTTTGGGTTTTTTGGGTCTCTCTTTGATAGACCCAAAACAAAATGTGTCTAATCATTTTATACAGGGGCGGCCCCATGCCAGGCACACTAGGCCTGAGACCTTATTAGTTTGAGAGCATATTATTTTATAAGACATTTAAAAATCGTGTGTACTTTTCCGTTTGGATCGACATCTTGCTTCACTGTTTCAAAGTTGAAAAGATCTTGAGTTGAGTTTTAAATTTACACATAGATATAAGTGTTAAAAATATATTTCGAGTTTGAGCCCGAAAGAAAAATCTGAATATTCCGAATTGATATTTTGTGGACGTTCGAAATCGAGCAAAAGGAAATATTGGAAATCATCTTTTTTACTGTGCGTTGAAGAGTTGGACTGAGTTTGGAAAGTCAATCTTGGACGTGTGGCTAATTGCATCAGAGAAATAAAAAGGAAATTAGAAAGATATTCTTTCCTAATTCTAGTGGGAGTCACGGTCAACAAAGGGAAAGCCCAAACCATACTTTGTTGACCGAAATATGCAGGTTTCCAATTCTGAAGTCGGCCAACGAAAACTGAAAAAGGAAAGTGAAGGTGGACTTCGTTGACCGAAGTTCACAGTTTCCTTCTCACGTTAATGTCGGCTACTGTGCATGTTCTTTCTTGGATATATATATTGGATCGTGGATTCCTTAAGCGTAGTTGTTGATGCAGTCCTCTTGAAGCGCCCTTTTTCTAAGTGAGTGCTTGACAGTGGGTTCATGATTTTGTTCGTAGAATTACACCAAAAATTCAAGTGTTAGTAGCGATTAAATCTTGTGGTAAGATTTGTGTACAATTCTTTCGTGAGATTGAGAGATTATTTCATGAGGAATTATGAGGCTAAACACTGCGTGAGTTATTGAGTGTAATTGGGGCTTGGGAAACACCGAGAGTGTTTGAGTGACTCGAGTGTGGCTGTAATATCCGTCGTATCGCTTGATCTATAGTGAAATTCCGTGCTGCTCTCCCCGTTGACGTAGGTCACTACGATCGAGCCACGTAAATCTGATGTCCGATTTATTTTTTTATTCTGTCAATTTTATTGTTCGATCGCTTGACTTTCGCAACAATAAGAGTACGTTCAGGGATCACAAAAAGTTACATCTTGTAAAACCTTAAAGAATGAAAGGCTGGAGCCATCATCCACCTCACTAATTTTGGCCTAAATGATCCATTATTGGTTTGGGTTAGCAAAATATCATTTTTAAAGAGCGTTGTCGTACTAAATGACCTAAAGAATTTTGAATTTAGTAAATATGAAATCACACGACATAAACGAAGGGTTTAATCTTAAAAAAGTAAATTTATTGGAATATCTTATGAAAATTTATCACTTCATCAATACTTCAGCCAAAAAAAAAAAAAACACAACCCACATCAACCCGAATGACCAAACTGTTGTAGAGTTGTTGCAGAGTTATCATGTTTCTCTAGGGGCTACGTTCGAGTGTCAGATAAGTATTGACTCCTTTTACTGCGTCTCTGTCTTTTGTAAATATTATAAGACGGACCGCGATTTCCAAGCAATGAGCAATTCGAGTCACCAAGAAGCATAAATTTAATGGAAAAGCAAAGTTTCCTTTCTACGGAGTCTCTATCCTATGCAATTACAACAGAAAAGGAGTTTCTTTTGCAAGAATAATAGAAAAGCATTGACGCCTTCAGCCGAGTCTGTCTTTTGCAAGTATAATAGAAAAGCAAAGACGACCGGCGATGGCCAAGCAATATGGAATCTTTACAGGAGAAATCTTTACTAAAGATGATGTTTTCTCAACAGATGATTAATAATGTGTTAAGGAAATTTGTTCATCTTCTTGTGATTTTTGTTTCAAGTTTTGTTTAGAGCACTCCAAGAATAAAGTTCTGAATGAATCAATCCGATGTGGAGGAGCGCATCCTTAAGATCGCATGAGGAAGTGGGCCAGTTCAAATGCGCAAAAGCTGGTCCAGACTTCACGCTGCACCAAAAGAAAGAAAAGTCAAAAAATAATGATAATGTGACATTTTCATATTACTTTGTTCGGTAAGTGGAAACTTCCACTCAAATGTCGTATTCCAAAATTTGAAACGGGAAGCCTAGTGTGTAATGCTAGTGGGAATGGGAGAATCTGATATGGTAAACCAAGGACGACCAAAAAGTCTCTTGAGCAATAATTCAAACATAAAATATTTCGGAAATGAAAAAAAAAAAGAACTTGCAAATTTTATGATTGCTAATGACCGGATGAAACGTACTTTGATCTCCTAAGTTGAAAATCATTCCCAATTTTTTATTCAGATTGACTATTAACTGCTAATGATAAAAGTCTAGGGTTATGTGGAAAAAACTTACTTTCTCCGCGATATATATGTATATATATATATTTTGGTCGAATTCTCCACGATATATTGAAACGTACACTTTTATATCAAAAGTTAGTAACCCTGTAAGTTTAAAAGTAAATAGTTTCTAGATATAAGTGCCACGATAGTTGTGTGACATCCCAAATTCCACTTAGCTCCTACTGTACCCTCATGTTCTAAGATTCTGTTCTCTTATTCTCCCCAATCCAGATGAATCCGCACATATTATTAGTAAATCAACCACCACGTCGCGGAGCAAACACATCACCGACTGCACATGTAATCTACCACATCTTCTAGAGATCATAAATGCTAATAATACTATATCAACCATTACTATCAAATGATTTATACTATATATATCGATGGTTGCACAAGTATGATTCTAAATGAGGCTCTCACGAGATCAAGAGGTGGCTCGAAACAACATGGAGAAGTAAAATTTTGGATATTTTAGATTATATTTTCTTTTTTTCTTTTACTGTTCATTTTTTTTTATCTTTTGTTGTTCGGTTAATACAACAAAAAATCCTAAACTGGCACACTTGTGATAAATTTACCCCTACTAATTTTTGAGTGACCAAAAATCCAAATTAGTACACGAGTGATAAATTTTCTCAAACTAATTTTTGGGTTACCAATACCCCCTAACTCGTACTCTTGAAACATATTTACACTCTTTTAGTTTTTGTCAAATTTTACAATGAAATTACTGAGCTGGATGATATATGATAATAACTCAATTGACATGGCAAGCTTACGTAAAAATCCATATCAGTTTAGGATAATGTGACATTTTTATATATAGTGGTTACACAAGTATGATTCTAGATGTGGCTCTCACGCGATCTAGAGGTGGCTCAAAACGACATGGAAAAGTAATTTTTTGAATTTTTCAGATTATATTTTCTTTTTTTCTTTTACTGTTCCTCTTTTTTCATTTTTTATTGTTGGGTTAATACAACGAAAAGTCTCAAACTGATACACTTGTAACAAATTTACCTCTACTAATTTTAAAGTGACCAAAAACCCAAACTGGTACACTCTTGATAAATGTACTCCAAACTAATTTTTGGGTTACTAGAAACTCCAAATTGGTACTCTCGTGACATATTTACACTTTGTTAGCTTTTGTCAAATTTTACTTTGAAATTGTTGAGCTAGATGACACATGACAATAACTCAATTAACATGAAAAATCCATGTGAAAATCCATATCAGTCTGGGGTAAGCTTGTTTGTACTAGTTTGAGGTTTTTGGTATCTCAAAAAGTAGTTTGGGCTAAATTTGTAACAAGTGTATCAGTTTGGGGTTTTTCTTGGTATTAACCCTTCATTGTTCATCTTTCTTTCTTTCTTTGTCCATCACAATGATCAGCATCTCCAATTACGAACGAAACTGAAAACCACATCGATGCATAGAGAAGCTCACACCGAAGAACAAGCCATGGAAATGAAAGATCCACCGCGGAAACCCTAACCACAACCCCAACATTCGCTCTCCTCAAAACCTCCTAGTGGCACCAGCGTTCGCAGCCCCGTGCGACGGGCATCCTTGGCGAGCACATTCCATGGTAAATTTTTTTGAATCCGGAGAACCTAGGCCAGATTTGTTCAACGGCAGGCCTTTCAGAAGCTTCAGGGACTTTGGCTTTGGAGGATGATCTGCAACATTGAGAATGTTAGATTCAAGCTCGACAATGGACAAAAACCATCTGATTCGAAGCATGAGAATGCGTGTGGAGGTGATTTGGGAGAGGAGCACGAGGCCGAGCTCTTCGATTTTGGGGAGTATGGAGGCGAAGAAGGCCATGGTTCCTATTGCAATATTAGTGCGAAAATTGATAGGATATTACAAATTTAAATCCACATGAAATCAATAGAGAAATAAAATGAGGAACAATAATGACACCAAAGATTTACGTGATTCGGCCCAAGTGTCGGTACCTACTCTATAGGAAGACCACCTCGATGCATAGAGAAGCTCACACCGAAGAACAAGCCATGGAAATGAAAGATCCACCGCGGAAACCCTAACCACAACCCCAACATTCGCTCTCCTCAAAACCTCCTAGTGGCACCAGCGTTCGCAGCCCCGTGCGACGGGCATCCCTGGCGAGCACATTCCATGGTAAATTTTTTTGAATCCGGAGAACCTAGGCCAGATTTGTTCAACGGCAGGCCTTTCAGAAGCTTCAGGGACTTTGGCTTTGGAGGATGATCTGCAACATTGAGAATGTTAGATTCAAGCTCGACAAACCATCTGATTCGAAGCATGAGAATGCGTGTGGAGGTGATTTGGGAGAGGAGCACGAGGCCGAGCTCTTCGATTTTGGGGAGTATGGAGGCGAAGAAGGCCATGGTTCCTATTGCAATATTAGTGCGAAAATTGATAGGATATTACAAATTTAAATCCACATGAAATCAATAGAGAAATAAATGAGGAACAATAATGACACCAAAGATTTACGTGATTCGGCCCAAGTGTCGGTACCTACTCTATAGGAAGACCACCTCGATGCATAGAGAAGCTCACACCGAAGAACAAGCCATGGAAATGAAAGATCCACCGCGGAAACCCTAACCACAACCCCAACATTCGCTCTCCTCAAAACCTCCTAGTGGCACCAGCGTTCGCAGCCCCGTGCGACGGGCATCCCTGGCGAGTACATTCCATGGTAAATTTTTTTGAATCCGGAGAACCTAGGCC